AGTATCACGTCTGTGGCCACGCGCGATAACGGCCACAACCACGCCTACAGCGACTTCTCCTTGTGACTCGTCAGCATCGGTCGCACAGCGTTCCAAGGGCTCACCTTGCTTCTCGCTACCATGATGGGCACGTTGGAACAGAAGCGGTGTACTTCCAGCCTTCCCGACGCCGGCGAAATGTTCTCCAGGGAGTCGGGAGAGTCGATCCTGAAGCACGCGATGATCACGCCTGGTTACGGCAGTTGGCGAAACCAGCCGTTGTTCACCTGCCCGGCATTTTCCCATGAAGCAAGTTCTACCTGAAGCACCGTGACCAGGACCTTGAAGAGATTCTCGAATAACGTGGGCACACGGGCCTCCGGAAGTGGGCAGCAGACTATCCGAAGGCATCTCTTGCTGGCTTACCGTCAATGTCTACCACTTGGGTTTCGTTCTGATAGCCGTAATATGGCTATTCCGTGGTAGTAGAGATACGCTGTTGTTGTTGTTGTTGTTGCCCCTTCGCACTGGCACATACCCACTATGGGGGATTGGCCATGAAATCTAGAAGTATCCTAAATGAGATATATTAAAAGGTTTATCCTTAATGAAAAAACTAATGATGTAATAGAAAATAATAATTAACTAAAAAGGAATATTAAACTAAACAAATAATTGAAGATTGAATCAAGAAGAGAAAAGGTGAGGTAATACTACAGTGGAAGACAGAAATTTTGAGTAGACCAGACAATCGAGCTTATCTCACCCGGTCACAATCAAATGAATATGCAAATTTCATTCAAAATTAGACAAGTGTCGTCAGAAATATATTTAAGCAGGCATTATTATGACATGCGCTTTGATTCTCGAATGAAATTGCATACAGCATCGAATACGCTCCTGTGGCAATGTCCCAAGCTAAAGGCACCGAAACTTAGAACATTATCTGCAGTTAAATTTAAACCTACTGCTTGAAAAGGAACAATTAAAAGTCTTTTCCTAATTAATGAATAGTTTTTACATGTTATAAAGTAATGCTCTATTGTTTCCGTTTCTTCACAGAATGGACACAGGGGGGATATCGCCAGACCAGCTCTGTGCAGGTAAAAGTTTAATGGAGGGACACGGCATCGAAATTTGGTTAAAATAACTTCTAACTTTTTAGATTGACTCCACTGAGGTTTCCAGGGGTATGTTAGGTGCTGATAGTCCGTATATTTAGTAATATTTTCCATAATATCCGTATAAATAGCCCATTTTCTATATCTGATCGACACTATGTGTTCCGATTCTGGTAGTACCGAGATCACAGGGCCATCAAGAGATACGCTGCTTCGCTAAGCGCCTTCTTCTTCTTCTTATTCTTCTTCTTCTGAGAAACCTTGAAACGTGCTTCAAAACTGAATTCACAAGCCTATGCTTCACAAAAACACTTGACATATTAACGTACAGTATAGTGACATATTGGCTATAAAAATGCGGTTATGCGATCTACGGATAGATTTTTACCAGTAGTGATTGCTAAAATGTACAGAAAGACGAGCGCAATGGTGCGAATTCATAGCTACTCTCGGTGGAGCGACAATATGAAGACAACGAAGTTAAGAGGGGTAACTGAAAGAATGTTTTCTTCGCAATTGAGAAATTTATCAATGTCTAAAAATATCTCGCTAAATGCTTTTACTTTCAAATATTTTATCAATATTATTTGTACTTAAATTCGCCATATTAGTTCTAGCTTATATACTAGCATACTAAAGGAAATACTGAGGAACTTCACCAACTACTTGGCCAATATCCTGCACTGGGTATGAGTCATCAAAGAAGGAGAAGAAAAAAAGAATATGCTTGCATAAATATTTCAGTTATGCCCATTATTTTTGCCAAGGAGGCTCATTTTATCAACATAGGCAGGGAGATGTTCACTAAGCAATGGTTGAGTTTTTAGCTGTATCAGGAAAGTTTTTCACGATAACGGTTTTCTAAGATTTCTCATTATTGGTGAGACGAGCACAACCACTCATAAGATATCATACTAGCTTCATTTTATTATTATTCCGGAATAGGCAACTAGTGTGGTGAAAGCATAGGCCCTACCAGAAAGCGAAAATGAAACAACCGGCATGTCCTCACTGATGAATGAAGCAACCATGCACCTGTCTGACAATTTACGTTTTCATAAGCAGCAGACGCCTGGCTGAGTGGTAGAACCTTGTGATAACCGCGACTATGAGTACTATAGTATCTGACACAAATAATATAATTATCGGGTAAAAATCATTAACAAGGCCTCATGAGCAAATAATAGCAATAATAAACTTGAAGAAACTGTATAATTGAGAGAGAGAAAAACGAAGGTTTACATTAGCTACATTTTTAATACTTCACCTTACTAGGCAACCCCTGTAATGGAGTCATAAGCACTATCGGAGAACAAAAACGAAACGGTACATCCGCCCTGATCAATGAAGCATGAAATGCACCTGTTTATTCTTAAGAGCTTATGGTCTTCGTGGCTGATGCTGGGCCTTTGCTAAGCGTAGACAGAGTAAGTCGGTCCACAACCTGTCACAGATGATGCAGGAATGCCTCAACTTGAGCGCCTCAACTAACGTGCAAAGCAGGCTGTGGCATGCCCGATAAAAGCGTTGGCCATTCGTCGCTCGTATACTCGGCTAGCGCGGCGGGCCAATCACTCGGCGCGACGCCTGCGCAAACTGTCTCCGTCAGTGGGCGCAGCTGACAAGCAACGGCCCGGAGGGTTAATTGCGGACGCTCGACGTTCTATTTCGAGTTCTAAGAGCTTCGATGTTAAAACAAAAACAAAACCGTGAGTTCTCTTTCACAGGAATCATTCATAATTAGAAAGTGAGACGTGCCTTACTAACCCGACGTAGTCACGAAGGCGTTCGTGCGTGCAACTTCGGTCGTTTTAAACTGTTCTTAGGGCACATAGTGCATCATTATTGCGAAATAACCACAACGCCATGATTCACCGCATTGTGTCTGTGCACTGTTTATTTTTTTTTCACGTTGCTGTTCGCTTAGCCTCGGGAAAAATGCACACATTACTTTGGTACCAGGCTGCCAGCGACAACAGTACACCACACATATCGACGTTTCAAGAATACGCGAGGCATATCAATTACGTCAGGCAATCGAGTCACATGCATCCATTGCTCAAGAACTCAAACTCGACAATTTAAGACAAAGTAATGTCTATATCCTTGTTTCCACCACATTCAGTCTGTGCCAAGGGCGTAATTTTGACTGGAATACGTACATCAAGTTCTTCAGCGTCTAGACTCATAACCTCATGACACGGTGATCAAAAGCAATTGTGCCAACCAGTTGTTATAGCAAATTTTTTGACGTCGCGTTGCGATTCGTCAGCATTGTATGCAAATTAAGCCCTTACATCAAGAAAGAAACGCAATGCCACACACACAAATCAATTACAACATCAAATGGCGCCAAGCTTCTGCTCTTTTTTAGCGCGTTTGAGCATGAGGTAGTATAGCTAACTTTTTGCGACCTTCAAGGCACGTTTTTCCTAGAATGCTGTAAACGCGCAAGGAATGTTCGCGAATCAAGAAGCGCGTGGTCTCGACAGTGCGCTGAGCACTCATAATGGCGCCCCGCGGCGAGCACGTAAAAGTTTTCGAATAGCAAATTCCTACGGGCTACCAGCATTACCTTGCAAACAAAACAGACTGGACGGAACATATGTATACTTTTGAAGATTCTGTGTCATATAGTTCTGTAGCTTTCACTTCACGGCGTGCAGTGCTATACCTGCAACGTTCTGTTTTTTATTACAATGAGCAGCTACGAATAGCCAAAGTGAATCAGTTGGAGCTGCAGAAAAGAACGAAATGTACGTCTAGTATACATAAAAATACACGATTCATCACCAGACTACATAACCTGACAGGAGCGGAGTGGGATAATCCCACAGAGGATAAGGGTATGAGCAGCAACGCGATGTTTAAAACTGATAGAAGCATATGTAAGCTACTTTCCATTTTACATTAACTGTCACAAGCTTTCGTCTTTGCGGGCATGTTTTGCATATTTACATGTGTATTTTTAGTGACAGTGTCAGTTTTGCGAGTCTCAAAAACTTCTATAAACAAATTAACCCAGAGCAGGGAGCCATCTTTTTCCCCTGCAGATGTCACAATCGCTATATTGCTGTTCTTCCTGGAGGATTTACGGCGTCCCAAGTTCTGTGAAATTCACCTCATTTTCATTGAATACGTATTTTTCAATCTGCAGATCTACAGCGGGTAAACGAATAATCTGGTGCAATCGCGATGATGAAGCTCTCGTTGAAACGGGACAATTATTTTAAACCATTAGCGAGTGACAACGTAGCTTGGCATGTGTTCCAATAGGAACACCCTCATCTACGTTTATATGTCCTCACTTCAACGCGACACCCAGAAATACCCTGTTTCAGCTGTTGTATACGGCGCATCGGCCGCAACGCTGTGTGGTCGTACACATGGCGGCGCCGTGCTCGAAATAGGCGGGAACAGCTTTCAGTGCAGGCCGCTGCCGTTTTACATTTACAACCACTCGAACCATGCTCTCTTGATCGAGGCCGACGCAAGCCCTCTCGAGAGCAATGCGCAAACGCTTAAACGCACTCTTCCGCCACTGGGGTTTGCCGTAAACGTTGAACGCACAACAGCCGCGAGTCCCTCTTTTACCGAAGTGCTCGCACGATACGCGAGAAGTACGGAAAAGACGGGGGAAATGGACGCCATCTATTAGTTGCTCTGCTAAATCTACGCCTCTACATTGGGTTACCAATGACGCGCGGCGGCCTAATCGCCAAATATGCTTTACATTGCCTGGATCAACGTCAAGCATAATGACGTATAAGATGTACGGGCTATAAAATAAGATAACTACATATACGCTTGCTTTCAAGGACTTCCCTGCAAGCTTTTGGGATCACGCGTGAAAGCCAGAAACAGTGAAATCGACACGCAAAAGAAAGGAGATTGTATGACCTGTTAGGAAGACCGGCCTACGTGGACGTCAAGAAGTCTCTGGCCGTTGTAGTACCAGTCGACTGCGAACAAGAAAACACCACGTTGTTAGAAGCCAAAAAAATAAATAAATAGAAGAAACGAAACCAAATTAATACAGGAGATTAGTTAGAGAGTTACTGAAAGAAACTGTAGCACCAAGTTTTCATCTAGTTCACTTCGACTTCCACCACCTCTCGCATTCAAGTATAGGGAAGGAATGCAGAACACCATCGAGGTTCGTACGAACGCTGGCGACGTGGCCAATATCAAGCGCTGCTCGACGAAATGTTCCGGCTGCATGTGAAGGTACGCTCATCGACGGCACAGCGTTGCATCCGCGAATTGCGTTGAGTATATTTTGTTCGCGGTACAGCTGCCAAAAGGAAACGCAGATGAAAGTTTCGTTCATGAGAAGTAAACGAGCACACTGCATACTCCTAGCTGGATTATAAGTTACAAGTAAACTAAGGCATACACGTTGCTTATAACCGTAGCTTCACTTCTGTGAAAGGTGCACCACAAGGATACCGTGCAAGAGCAACACATTATGTTGTTAATATTAACGACAAATATTGACATATAGCTATCTGTTCCTTCATGTTTTTCTTTGTTTAGTACAAGGCTTGTTGTTTTTCAGGATGGGTACACAGAGAAGTCAAAAGCAGGTATACAGAAAAAGCTCGTGTTTTTGACATTCGGTAGTTCCACAAACCGGATCATTTGCACACGTTCTTTGGTCTCGGTCAACGTATGCATTCTTCAACGACATCGAATTCTCGTTAAATAGGTCATACCAATAACTCTCGTTAAATAGCTCATTCAGGCTCAGCGAATCACTCAGATAGATCGAATCTCGCCTGAATGGACATCTGTACACAAGCGAACGCTTCTCGAGATGCTCAATGAGTGACGTTTCTTTTAAATGCAAAGTCCGTCCCGCCCGCCCACCCAATTTGGTATCACGTGACGTGAACAGACGATAAAGGTAAATGACAAGTCCAAACAACATCATAATCATGTCATGTAAAACATGACCTGCTACGATCACAGCGTGATCGTTACCGTTTCGCTAGCTCCACATATACCAAATATGGTATTACGTGATGAATAGATGACGAAGGTATATGACAGGTACTAACATAATAGTCATGATATGCGTAACATGTATAAGATAACTACATGCTACACTCAAAGCATGCGGCCATTTCGCGGGCTCCACATATACCAAATTTAGTATCACGTGACGAGAATAGGCGACGAAGGTAAATACCACGTCCAAACATGATAATCATGACATGGAAGTATATGGCATGATTTATGTCCTCATCGTAACATTGTGCTGATTTTGAAGTGACATATCAACCTTCCTCATTCGTGCTTCGCATATCATCAATTCCTACTGTACGTGGGATCTGCCAATTGTTTTTTAGATTTCGACACCAAATAAGCCAGAAAATAAAACAATTACACTTGTTCATTGTACTTTTGTTTTTTTTCGACGCGATGTGGCGCTTTGTCGTGTGAACACGCCATCCCGACGTGTTCCATTTCTCGGACAGCATGGGCTCGGTGCTGTTTTCTAAGCTGTCTGCGTAGACTATTTACAATGCTGACTAAGAATTCAAACACAGCCTTGGTCGCTCGGACGTTGCTCGGTGCGTGTTGAGCGTGAAGCGCCAACAATGTGCCACAAAAAGGTGCGAAAACGACATTCGCGAAGAGCTGAATCGACCAAGAGCTTTCAGAAAGGCCTGGCAACCCCTCGCAATCCCGTAGTTGATACATAATAAGGTATTGGCTCAAGACACGTTTCGAATTAAGACATTGGGGTCTCGATGCCGCGTTCACACCGCGAAGTCACAAATGACAAATATATTGGCTTCTTCACTGCTCTTATAGAAGATGGCCGTTGCATATACACATTCCTCAAGAAAACGAAAGTGCTTTGATGTCATGAATATTTATTCACCGTTTTCTTTCCGCTAATTCGGTATTCGGTTCATTTGAAAAGTTTTTCTGGTCCCATGAAATCCAAATTAACGAGCTTTTAGCAGTGGCTACTCCCGGCAATTCGTCGCAAAAATTTGTTTTCTATAAAATGGGTGTGTGATATTTCTAGCCATCTCGATCCACACGTAATTCCGACAAAAACGGAAGCTCCATCAGATACCAGATTATCAAAATAGATCATGTCCCTCCGTAAACGTTGCCAAGGTTGATATATGCCGTTCAATAGTTAGCAGCCGTCATACCGTCTGCCCCTTGATTTGCCGATTTACTGGGAATTCATATACAGCGTATCATACGCGTGGTGTCAAAGTACGCCTTTCTCATCACGCAACCCATTCTCACGCGCACGAAATCGCGATAAAGCACCCCAACAAGCTGTTCCGCGCGCTTTCAAGACAAGGCGTGTCAAATGGCGAAAACAAGTATTAAAGTGCTTCCGTGTGGTGTTTAAGGCTATATTCACGGCTGACACAAAGAAAGTTACATTTAAAAGCTCGTTTTCCTTTGTTAGACACAATATTATTAAGATATAACAGACAATCATTGCAAGAAAAGTATAGTAGATGTTATAGGAAGTAATTGTAAAGTAAATGTAAAGAGAAAAAAAAGCGGACGAATAGATAACTTGCCATAGGCAGGGAATAAACGTGCGACCTTCGAATAACGCGTCCAATTCTCTACCAACTGAGCTACCATGGCAAGTTATATACCGAATGATAAAGCAACAGAGTGGTAAGAATAGTGCCAGTTCTACAGGTTTCACAGACATAGCGGTATACGGTAGTTTCCTCGAAGCCCCGTGACCACGATCTGTTTGCGTTCCAGCGGTCACTACGTAAACTTCCTTTCCTACAAACAGACACACGAAAGAAAAAACAACAAAAGAGGTCATTCTGCAACAAAGGATGTCTCCTGTTCGAAGGTGTTTCAATCTACACTGAAAAGGGAAGCAGATTTCGACGAGAAGTCGGGTTGCCAGCAACTTTATATGATCAATAAAAGACTGATAGCGCACTGGTTGGTTTTTTTTCTCTATAAAAGACACCTCCATAAAAACTCCACGCCCCCCCCCCGACCTACACACACACACACACACACACACACACACACACACACACACACACACACACACACACACACACACACACACACACACACACACACACACACACACACACACACACACACACACACACACACGCGAGCGAGTGCAGTGGCGGACTTTAATCGTGAGGCGACAATAGCGTGGACACTAGACAGACCCACGAGGACAAGTGCTACTGCATTTCTTTTTTTTCGGAAAAAGGCCACATGAGCTGTGCTAAAAGAAAAGTGAAAGCAAATAATTGATTGATCACGCTTATCAGGCAAGAAAATGTTGCGCACTCTTCGAGATGCAGTGAACGAAGGTAATCTACATATCTCGGATTATGCAGCAGCCCAGTGGCAGGACAAGGGCGAACTGCACTTCGTCGAGATCCACTCTGCCTAATGCACTCGAGCCGCGCCCACGCGGCGTCAGCGCACGTCTGCCACCGCGAAGCAGGTGTCGAAAGTTGGGCACCGTCTCCGTGTTGTAGTAATGACATCTGACGGTGGCAGTAGCGCTGTCGAGCTGTCAGTGAGGCGCCGCATCTGCCTCATTGGTGGTACTCCCACTCGTTCATGTCCTTATCACGTACTAAAACACCCCCACCCCCACCTTGGTGACACAGCGCAGCCGCTAGAAACTCTGTAGAACTATTTGCGCTCTCCATTTTTAACCTTATCGGTGTTAATAAAGCGCATCATTGATTTAAGTGAGCTCCACACGGGTGCGCCAGCAAATCACTCATTTTATCTTACGGTAAGGTATGCCAATGTAAAATCAACAACGCTACAAAATAAGAACAGGTTGACATCAGTGAACACTCATACGTACTTGCAACAATATAGAAAATTCAACAAATAATAAAGGAAAACGCGAAACAACAGAGTACTGATGCCACGCGCCCATCTGCATGCCCCTGACACTTGGAAAGCGCTTCCACTCCGGTAAAAGATTTACGCTTATTTTCAGGCAACAAGACGTAAGCTAAGTACACTGCTTCTAACGCAATGACTGATTACACAGAGCCATCAGTTTTTACTTCATATAGCTAAAATATTTTGCTGCAGCTTTGTTTGCATAAGGCGAGGAGACTGTCTAACATACAAATAAAAAACAGCTATACATCTAAAGCGGATATTTTAAACAATACCGTCCACCTCTACCATGGACGGGTTCCTCGAATGCAATTTGATAGGTGCGATCAACAGAACACAACAAAAACAGTAGAGCGGGTGAGGCTTATCAGCGCCCAAATGGCTTCTCGCTGGAAACGGCCAGACGTTTATTTTCTAGAAGGCTCCAGGTAAGCCATCGCCTTCCAACTGTTGCATGAGGCACCCTTCTTCAGGCGTACAGGCTGCTGCACCGCAAGGGAAGGATCGACCCATCGCGAAGGTACTTCTTTGACAGTGGCAACTACTTGTAGAGGCCCTCTTTTGCTTAGCCTTGGGTGACTGTAGCGTGCGTGGGCATACCGTTGGTTCTTTTGTTTTTCCGCGGAAATGTTGATCCCGCCAGAACAGAAGTATCATAGCGCTGGTCTCCTCGACTCTGGGATGTTCGCCAGGGAGTCGGGAGAGTCGATGTCGGAGCAGAAAAGGACGAAGTCGGTAATCTGACGGTAACCGCTCATTGTCCTCTTTCCTCTTTCACTGGGTCTTCATCGGCCTCGCGTCTTCTTGCGCATAGCTTACTTGGTCCCCGAAAATTTTCCGGCCGCACCGGAAAAGTCGTCAAGCAGCTATGGCCTCTCCTACAAACACTCGTTCTCGTCGAAGTCGCCGGAATCGGCGTTGAAGCAGATGGCGACGACACCGGTACGTCGGCCGCAGCCGGTCGTAGACCACCTGCCTCTTCCGCTTCAGCCTCACGGGTTTGGCAGAGTGCAGGGGTCGTCGAGCAGATCCTTCTTGTTCGCCACGTTCGCGTTGTAAGCACTGG